GCAATTTCAATACAATAAAATCTCAATAAATATTCAATGTCAAAACTATACAACCCCTTTCGTAGCTGTCAAAATAGCATTCAGAGTACGAAATATAAAACCAAACTCAATACCATTTAGTTCATTCAATATCCGCGCAATACGGATGCAATGGGCGCTAGTTTTGCAACTCAAGAGTACGAAATTTCACAATACCAATGTCGATCGATCGGGATTGGATTCAAGAGTAAGCCCCCTTAGCTTTTCCATCATAAATAAAATGTATGCCGCCTGAACATTTTAACAACGCAACATCTACACGATGCACATTGCTAATGTATAAGTGAAACTGTCAACTTTAACTACAACAATACAAATTATCATTATGCTGATAACTTAAAAATATTTTGGTATACTAAAACATAATTGAAACTAGGTCTTTGAAAACATTTGTCAGTAGTAGCACAGCGTCTGGAAATGTATATGGTAATAGGCTCACCCCCTACTACATGGGACTAATGACATAAACTAATAGTGAACATAAATTAATGGGACTAATAGTGAAAAGTTAGTGATACATTGTACAGTGGTATTAAGTGCCGTAATGTGCAATGTGATTTTATGTAAATATGGACTAGCTTCTGCCCGCGACATCGTACGCGCAATCCCGTTTTCTTCCGTTTCCATATTATTTTTAGGATGTTTAAAAAAAAAATTCTCATGAGAACCTTCTCCTGACATCTCCTGACAATAACAAACACAAAAAAAATCAGCCAAATCGGTCCAGCCATTCTCAAGTTATGGCGTGACAACGGGAAACGGGTTTCATTTTTATATATGTATATAGATATATTAAAAACTTTATCCAGATAAATAACAACCAAGTTCATGAATTGTGCTTGAGGCAAGAGGTCACGATTAGTCACGAAAAATCCAAATCAAAAATCTTCACAACACAAAAACAACATCGATAATCCAAATTGGAATTAAATTATCTCGGGAATACCAAATATATTCCAGACAGTAACTTAATACGACAATTGACGTAAAACCTTATTCTTATCCAATTATGACGAAATAGGCCTATTGTCCCTTTCTATAAATATCTCAGACCCGGCTTTGACGAGACAGAAATAGTTGACCTGTAACTAAAGATATAATAAAACTGCCTTGAATCGAATATTGATTCTATATTTTGTGAGTGTGTATTTAAGTGTGGGAGAGCCATGCTTCGGCACGAATGGACCGGCTCGACTGGAGTGATACCACGGCCTCACAGAAGACCGACGTGAAACAACGTTGTGTTGTGTTTCGTCGTGTGAGTGAGGTTACCGGATGCCCAATTAACCGTATCAAAATCGGTTTAGGCAATCGCGAGATAGTCGCGCACAAACATACGGTCAAACTGAGAACCTCGTTTTTATTGAAGTCGGTTAAAAACACGATGTAGCGACCTATGTATGTATGTGCATATTTCATTACTGTCGAGACTTCTAGCCGTAGATTATGAATGGCTTTAATTAGATTCGTCATTTTATTTAGACCTTATACAGGGTGTCCCTGAAGTTGAGGATCACCACGATCACGCCATTTGTTCGTCGACTTCAGGTACACCCTGTATGGTAAAGGATATGCCCAAAAATATAAATCATAATATAATAACCTATATAGAAGATATGTTGTTCAAATAACTCTGCCCAAATATCCGAGCCATATCTTAAATTATAAGTATTCCAGAAAGGTACATATTTGATTTATACCTTTGTTTACTAGGTAATAAAGTTTTTGAGCACTATGGTAATGTCAATGACCTTAAATCGTGCAGTACTCGATCCAAGGTGAATCGCGTACACTTCAAATGGCCTAATTTAAATTAAGATAATATAACTTAAAACATCTTTATTAAAACATTTATTGGATTTTAATTGAAAAAAAAATAATGATGAATACCGAACCATAACGACACATACTACGGGATACCTTAAAAAAAGTAAAAAAGAAAACAAAACAAACATGCAAGAAGTGAACTTTATAAAAAGAAGGTTAATCAATTCGAACGGATATTAAAATCGTTCTACTTTTGAATTTTTATTTCTTTTTTATGATATTAATGCAAAAATTATCATAGCGTGGGCAGTATGCAACACAATACTGGTAACATTACAATAATAAGGATAACTATGTCAAAAATCCAGCTATGCTTCTGCTTTTAAATGCTAAATATGTACCACGATGGTTTTTCCTGCATTAACTCACAAACTACCTAACAGATTCAGATGAAATTTGGTGTGCATATCGTAATTAAGTTTGAAGCCTTGGGTTAGTAGATACTGTTATTGTCGTCGTTGTAATTACATTATATAATCCAATAATCAAAATTCTACGAGCTTTTAAAATCTCATCAGTCAAAAATAGCTGAACAGATCTTTCTTTAGCCATTTCATCCAAGTACTTAAATAAATTTGGCACAGAAGCAGAAATATTAACAACAGTGACAAGCTCAGACTAGGTACTAGATAGTTATAGAAAACTAAGATATGCAAGGAAAAAGGGAACATAATACTTGTTTACTATTACTAGAAATAGCAAGCACATCATTCTCAGTAGTTCATTGATACCAAAGTCGACCCTTGTCAACTGGTCTAGCGAGTCACACAAGGTTGACTAGGAAGGGACCCTGACGCATCCTTGCTTGTCAAATAGACTGTTTAGATTTCTATCATATAGAAATAGTTACGGACATAGATATGTATAGTAGATGTTTTATAAGTACCTTTTTGAGCGGGTAAAATCATCCAATGACTTCTCTCACCCGGGCGACGCGAAAGGGAATGTCGGACGCTTACTGACTAAAAACCACCCCGGTCCTACTCCTTCCCTTCGAGCCGGAGCCCCGGCAACCCGTTAAGTCCTTCGCGGCTCCGTATCGGCATCAGTTCTGGGCTTCATTTGTGGTGGTCTGATGGTACCTTGACTTCTTAGCATAATTTCTCAATGTGCCTCCCATACAGTCTCAATCTCGAATAATTTATCTGAGAAGGGATTTTTTCACTTTTTACTTGTACTTAATCTGTTCCAGCACATTTGTATAAAAATATCTATTCTCCACGATCAGTAATGTTATGGGAGGTGCGATTTATCCAACAATGCAACTTTTGTTTCTGAAGTACATGTTATTTTTAATCGTAAGAAAACGAGTGATGGAGACCGGAGTTCGAAGTCGGTTAAAAATAGGAAGATTTTTCTTGTAACAAAAGTGAAGATATATGTATTACATTGGAAACAGGTGGTGCTCTCTTTGGCTTAAATGGCTTGCTTTAAATAATACTACAATTAGAACATTCATGTAGGCTGATGTATATTACACAAAAACTGCATTAGCAATTTCATATTCACAGTACATTCTCTATGTATCTTTAATGTAAATCAAACATTATATTTTTATTCATAATATTTATTAATACTTTTTATTTATTTATTTATTGATACAATGGCGGACTTAATGCCTAGTGGCATTCTCTAACAGTCAACCTTAGGGTGATGCAGAGAGACACAATAGTAGCTGTAAAAGTTTAACATTGTTGTGAGTTTTTTTAACATAATTTGATATTTAAATATAAATGTGATACGTAAATATAAATCATTAATTAGTTTAGTACATAAATCAAACACCAATGTACCTCTAAATGTACTTAAATAAATAAAAGATTCCGTTTTAAATCAATAAAACATCGTTCACTGTCATCAAAACATATTGATTTTATTAAAATAATGAAGCATTAAAATGACCTAATGATCTACTAACTATATTGGCACTCATACAAATCACATTATTAAGAACACGTGTTCACACATTCTTATAAAAAAACGATGAGTAAATAATAAAATTTTATTAACGGAATACTTATCACATCATTATTATTCCAATAAAACAAATATTAATAAAAAGGAGATATTTTTCAGTTCAGAAACAACTTAATTTTAAAGTAACATAAATCAAAGTCTACTGTTGATGAAGCGAAAGAGGTATGTAGGAATCGTAGTAATTGGCGTTCCCTAGTCTCTGCCTACCCCCATGGGTGGTTGCGGAGAACCTAACGGGTAACCGGGGCTCCGGCTCGACGTGAAGGAGAAGGAACGGGGTGGTTTTTAGTCAGTAAGAGTCTGACACTCCCTCCCGCCTCACCCAGGCGGGAGCAGTCATTCGATGATTTTCCCCCCTTAAAAAAAAAAAACCCATGGGAGACAGGCGTGAAGTTACGTATGTATGTATATGTAACATAAGTCAAGAGTGCCTGAAGTAAAGGAACGGAGGGGGAAGTTTCAATAGGGTAGATGACATTTTTTATTTTAATGTCCGTCTGGTAGATTATTTAAAAACATTAGACACGTATTTTTATTTTTTTTACGGAAACGAATAGTTTCGAAGATATATTGATTTGAAATGTCGCGTGACGTCACTTCTATGTACATTTTATACGTGGAAATGACGTTTTAGCCCCCACTCCTAAACTTTGATTCGTTATATCTAAGTATCATTTTATTAAGTATACAACAAAAAAAAACGTGTCTAAATATTTTTTCATTACCTAACTGACGGTCTAATTATATTTTTAATTTTCATACCCTGTTTTCATCCCTACTCCCGGGGACGCAACATATCTCAATGGCCTTTTCGGCTTTTCCAAAATTTACGCAGATAAAACCTAAATAGCATAAAGTCTTATAATAGTCGGTGGCGTAAATACACGGGACTAATAAGTGACAAAATACGAGTGAAAAAGTGCCTCAGTCATTTAATTATATGTATATTCTGCTCCCTCTACTTCTTCAGATACTAAAAGGACGCTACGTCATAAACTAGAAGCTAAAATATTTTGACACGATTGTACCTACATATTTGAGAAAAATAAACGAGACCCTTATACGTATTATCCTTATACAGTTTACATACGTACATGTAACTATAGTTACGCAGAACATACTCGTTATTTAAGTGTTAGCCGGGTCTCACACCCGCATTGAGACGCCAGGAGCCACATAGTCCGCACGTGTTTACATGAAACAAGTTATTAAGTAGTTACTAGTTATATATTCATCCAAAATGGCAAAAATCATTTCGACATTAATTTTAGTGGTTGTTGTTATCGCTGTCCAAGGTAAGCCACATCTTATATTTTTGTAGTTTAAGAGGGAAAATTTGTAACACATTTTTGGCATATTTTTTTTAAATTAACGATAGTGTTCCGACGTAGATTTGAAATATATCAAAAAATCGTTCATACTATTTAGGTAGCATTTTCGAAACGCGGGAAAAAATGTTCAATGGTTTTTTTACTAAAGTGTTAGTTGTGCGATTCTGTAAGATCAAAAATCCTTCAACATGTAATGACTATATAGCACAGAAAAAAAAAGTGGAAACTATAGTTTTTTCTTCTTCTCCTCTTATAATATCTTCTGATTCACTTCGTTGCGGGAACCAAGACAGTTACTCATGTCCCTGGGACGCACCGGACTTTAGTGTCCCGGTGTTTTCATGGTTGTATCTACTGTAGATCCTGGCTTACAGGAGTTGCAGCGGTTTTGGGAGGCTGTGGCGGGCTTGTCCACAGAAAAAAATGTAATAAATGTGAAAAATATAAAAAGAATATCAAAAATCGTTCATTCAACTTCATCTCTTGTTTCCTTGTTGTTAATTAATTATTGTATTTCAATTAAAAGTCGTCACAGTCAGTCAAACGCGATAGCTAGTAAAATCTTTTCATTTAGATACTCTAAAACACGTCACACGTAACTTAAAACTAAAACAATAATATACCATTTCGGCTCTTTAAAATACATTTAAATCGAGGATCAAAAGGATAATACGATAGAATCAGTAGAATCAATAGTCTGCACATAATTCATAAGATTTCGTGAATACAAAAGAGCGATTTTCGATTTTCTCGTTCCAAAAGATAAAGTTAGAGGTATAATATTTAATTGCCAAAACATGTGTAGGTCAAAATAATACATGCATAATTCATGTTTACTATAGATGGTAACTACAGTACTTATTGATTGTATCAACATGTTTAACCATGACTGGTTCATAAATATTAATTATGCAATGAATTTAGATAGTAAATGTTAAAATAAAATAATACAGTCAATAACAATTTACAAATGAAATCGGTTAATAAGACATGAGGTTTCGTGGTAGCCCAGAGGTTCAAGACGCCCGCTTCTTATTCATGAGGGTTCGAAACCAACCAACGGCAAGTACCAATGTGACTCTTGTCGAGTTATAATTATGTACTTTCTAAGATCATCTAGACGCCACTGACAAACGGTGAAAGAAAACATCGTGAGGAAACCTGAACTTATAATTTCTAATTATAAATTTGTAATCGCCAACCCGCATTGAGCAAGCGTGGTGATAAATGCTCAAACCTTCTCCGTGTAAAAAGAGAATAAGACATTAAAAGAGGCAAAGAGAATAGTTAGGTACTATAATATTATTATGGGTTACAAATTTAAATATTATCCTTCACCCATTGTGATACCCTCACTCAAATACTTCTATCGCTTAGAAAAGATTATAAGAAATTCCTCTCTGAGTACTTGTTTACCCGTCCCAAGGAAACCTCAACTTCCTAAGTGTAGGAAGTAAGCAAACAAGACGATTACGTGCAGTAACTATTAAGTAATCTGTGCTTACGTGATGAGTGGCAAAAATGAATTTCAGAATCAGAATACCGCTGTCACCAAAACGACGATTCTTAAATATATTTTATTTTTGTTATTTTGTCTAGAACACTTTATAAGTTCACAAGTTCATACTATCAATAAATATTAGTAAATAATTAGTAAATAATTAATAAATATCAATAAATATTAGGGGTCAAATTAATTAATAAAACCAACTCTAGCATTCATTATAAGTCAAAATAAATATTGCGGAATAGAAACACTCGTATTGCAGCCTTAGTTATGTCAAGGCGAACTACATAGGTCATGTTGACAAGTTCAATGTCGTTGAAATTAATAATAACTAACATTATTAATTTATTGAATTTATTAGCGAATAAATATTTACTAATGCATACTTTGATCTTCAAAGAGTGCCTAACCTGTTGGGCTTTGGGATGGCTTAGGAAGACTTATACAAGGTGTAGTTTTGATGCCGTGTCATTTCTCGGGGGCATGTCACAGAAGCCATAAAGGTTCAATGTAAGAGAAAATTTCGGGCCAATAGTTAAAAATACGGCTATAATAAATCGTTTAAGTTGGACAGTATTTCAGAAAAAGCGACAGCAATGCTTCTTATTGGAGTTTTATGGAATTAGGAATAATATTAATTACGTTTTTGAGTTTGTGTGTGTTATACCAAGTTATAAAGCTAGTTATAAGACGGCGGCGTGTAGTTCACACTTACGGATTTGCGTAATTTAAAGAAAAATGAAAAAAATGACCTACCATTGTTTTATTGATTCGGACTCAGAATCGATAGCCGAGTTACCTCCTAGAAAATGACGCGGCTTTAAAACAAAACCTTGTATTAGAAACATAACTTGAAATGAAATGAAATTATATTTTTGCAGAAAATAAATATCATTTCATTTCATTTCAAGTATAAATATTATTATTTGTAAATGTTTTAAAGAATAGATATTTCGACCATGAATTCAGAATTCGTGCGTTTTTGTAAGTTTTTCCTGCTAAAACGTGATTTTAAGTAATTTTGATATTATGCATTTAATAGTAAACGAAAGATCAAAACATTTATTTTACAAAAGATATAATAAAATTTTATACCTATCTCAATAAATTCTGGATAAAATGGCGTTTTGCTGACAGCTATAGCTACCGGACAGCATTCAAGGTGGAAATAAATAAAAAAAAACTTAAAATAACGACCCTTGACACTTATTCAAGACCAACATCTTATTTTATTAAAATACCAACATTTCTACTTAATCTTTTACAAACTGTATAACTAATTATATCCAATTAGGTAAATGTTGTTCTTTATGTTGTCGTAAAAGATGCGCGAAACAATCCCTGTATTGAGTATACCTCATATAAGACGTCTAGGGTGTTTTTTCGTTATTGGTGCGTATAACAAGATGTAAATAGGGATGGCGTCTAAAATAAGTACTATTGGCATTGCACCATCCGCATTTCCATTTATCAATTCAAATTTATGGATATCATAAATACACTTTCGAAAAATATTTTTTTTTCTTCTCTTATAATATCTGCTGATTCACTTCGTTGCGGGAACCAAGACAGTTACCTATTCATGTCCCTGGGACGCGCCGGACTTCGGATTTCTGGTGTTTTCATGGTTGTATCTACTGTCGATCCTGGCTTACAGGAGTTGCAGCGGTTTTGGGCGGTTGTGGCGAGCATGTCCCAATAAAAAAAATGCGCAATATACTGTATATTTAATATCATAATATAAGAGACATAAAAGTGTGAGTCTCATGTGAGTAACTTATGGCCCTGAATTGTCACTTTACTAAAAGTCTCTCGGCGTAATGTAGCACGTTAACTAACTTTACTTTTACTGCAAACAATGCATTATAACAAAATGGCGATTAATATCGCGTATCTTAGTTTAGAGGTCCCTTTAAATTTAGGAGAGATTTGTAATAATATTGGGGATAGTTATCTAAACCAAAATACATCCCTACTTTTTGAGGTGGAAAATCATCCAATGACTTCTCCCGCCTTAGATAAGACGAAAGTTTCAGACTTTTTTTACTGTTTCATGACTGCCTCGTTGGCCGAGTGGTCGCAAGTGCGATTGCCGGGGAAGGGGTCTCGGGTTCGATTCCCGGGTCGGGCAAAGTATTACTGGGTTTTAAAAAATCTCAGTAGTAGTACGGAGTCTGGAAATGTGCCCGGTATATGGCGATAGACTCACCCTCTTTTACATAGGATTCATAACATAAGTAGTGAAAAGTGGGTATTACATTGTACAGTGTATCCCTTCGGGGATAAAAAGGCGTGACGTTATGTTACGTTTAAGGCTTACTGACTAGCCACCCCGTACCTACTCCTGCTTTGAGCAGGAGCCCCGGTAATGACGTGGTAACAAAAGTTGATATACATAAGTTTACGTATCAACATATACGTAATATACCTCTACATACCTACGTATTGTTTGACGCCTTTGTCCAAAACTTTGTTCGGCAACAATACTGTATTTGGAAATACGAGAACAGATGTACTTACTACAATAATGATTTATAACAGGAACGGAGAAACGTAACGTATGAACACAATTCGTCAATTGTTTCCGTTGATTATTGCATAAATACAAAACTTGCAGACCAAAAGAATTGGTCAAAGATGTTACGTAAATATAGTACCTACGTTTAACTTTGGAAATTAATTGGTATTAATCTATAAGTACAATTATATAAAGCGGAAGAGTTTGTTTTTTTGTTTGTTTGTTTGAACGCGATAATCTTCGTAACTACAAGTCTGATTTGAATAATTATTTTTGTGTTGGATAGTGCATTTATCGAGGATGGCTATAGGCTATAAAATATCACGCTACGACTAATAGGAGCTGAGCAGAGCGTGTGAAACCGCTCGGAAGTAGCTAGTTGTATTATACTATACCTATACCTAAACGTGGTTGATTATGAGTTATTTTAACTTGACATTTACAGTTACAGTTACAGTTAGATAATAACTATCATTATTAACAGTCTATAAGTGGCCACTGCTGACCAAAGGCCTCTCTGACAAGGAGAAGATTTTGAGCATTAATCACCACGCTTGCTCAATCCGGGTTGGTGATTTCAAACTTATTATTAGAAACTATAAGCCCAGGTTTCCTCACGATGTTTTCCTTCACGGTGTGTCAGTGGTGTCTAAATAATCTTAGAAATTACGCATAACTCGGAAAAAGTCACGTTAATACTTATCGTTGGTAGGCTTCGAACCCCTGCCCTTATGTTTGAGAAGCGGGCATCTTAAACCTTCGGGCCGCCATGACATACATAGAAAGTATCTATGCACTATAATAACTTGAAATTGTAACATTGATCCTTACTTCTGAGATTTTTAACTCTAAACCTAGACTTTTGAAACTGCTAAACTTTTGACCAAAAGGATTTTACTGAAAGACTCAATTTGGTGACTGATGAAGATGAAGATTTACTCCCTAATACACCTGGGAAGAAAGAACTGCCACCAGCGTTTTTTTTTTCAATTTATCGAACGCTATATAATAAAAAAAAACGTATTCGTTTTACAACAATATGCTTTCATTTAAAGGTAGTAAATTGCCTTTTAGACGACATATGTTACCAATTCATAAAACATTTGTATCAAAAAGTAATATATTCACGAAATGGAAAAGATAAAATGCAAGTGGCTTCGTTTATTTCTTCCCACGTGTAGTTTCCCTTCTGGACAATTTTATTTTAAGGGGGGAAAATCAACGAATGACTGCTCCCGCCTAGGTGAGGCGGGAGGGAGTGTCAGACTCTTCCTTCCTTCTTTCCTTCTCTTGCACGTCGAGCCGGAGCCCCGGTTACCCGTTAGGTTCTCCGCGACTCCGAATCGGCTCCCTTCTGGACAATAACTACAAGTATAATGCAATTGGTTTGCGTCTAACAACATTTTATCAAAACATAAATAATTATCATATTTATATTCAAAAACATAGTCTGTTAAAATAATCGCAGGTTTTCCCTAATAAGGGGCCTCTAGCGATTTTGACTTGAGGAAACTTCGTAGATAATATTAATAATATACAAACACATTTTAAGGAAATACTTAAGTATCTACTAATCTTAAAGGTTTTATGTACTTGTAGATCTCCATTTTGTTTTATCAAATTAACTCGTTGAGTACCGTCATTATAGACACAATTATAGAACAATAGGTTGCGGTCACCGGTGACCGCTTGGTGTTTGACAGTTTAATTGATATTTAATGATAGATATATATTTTTATTATGTTCTTTGTATGTTGTCATTTTAAAAGTATAAGCTTTATTAGTGGTCGATTTAATCAATTATTATTTTTGTATAGTTTTATTATGCAGTATGTATAAAAGTTGGTATATATTCAAATTCAAATTCAAATTCAAATCGTTTTAATGCATCTATAGTGTGTACAGGACAGGGTGGTATACAATTATTGACAAAATATGTTCCAACTATAGGCCCTTTTGGGCACCGTAAAAGTACTTACTCTACTTGCAAAATAATAGAAATCATGAATGTTACTTAATTAATACAATCATTTCGTTATTTTAAAATCATTTATAACTATTATTAAGAATTTGTTTAAAGTTACAAAACAAAAATTAAAATGTTTCAACTTATTAACTTAATATGGCACTAAAACGATATCAAATATTATAATAACTACACACCAATACCAATTTAATTTGTGTATAATACGTAAATACATTTTGTTCAAAGGTCGAAAATGTCAAAATTCTCGCAAGATTGGCAAATCTGTGATTTATCAAATGCAAATAGATACATGTTTTGAAGTCTGAAAATATGTTAATATTGTTAGTATTATACATTATACTAAGTATCACTGTATTAGGTATCTACTTAGGTACAAAATTTATAATAAAAAACCACGATGACAACTTACAAGTCTAAGTAACGACTTAATATTATTGACTTTATTTGCTATTTCCTGACGTTGTAAGTAATTTTGATTGTTTGTTTATTTGTTTTTATATAAACTTGACAGCGACAAGAACACAACAATAGCTATTTCTAAATTGTAAAAAAAAGAAAAAAAAACATTCGAACAGCCGACTAAAAAAAAAGATGGAGGACAGTTAGTACCTCACAGACTACCAAATCTATCGGTTAATTTATACGCATTTACCACAGCATTTACTAAGGTAATTGAATTGGGTAAGTACCTGCTAACTAATCAAATTCAATACTTCTTTCGAACTGTCAAAAACGACAGTTTTCTATGAATTTTGTACTAGATTGTGTAGGTATTGTGACGTCACGTTTTTTTAGCGTCAAAATTACTTACTTCTTCAAAATTTGCTGGAAAAATACTAAAATTAAGTTGGCATTCAATTAATGAATGTGTGAATAGTTTTTAATATCTTAATGTATTGAACAGTCGAAATAATTTATGTTTGATTGAGGAAAGTACGCAATTTATACTACGAATGCGTTCGACCTTTTGACAGTTAGCTATATTGTTAACCGACATCAAAAGGAATAAAAGGAGGTTCTCAATTTGATTTGTATCTATGTATGTATGTATGTGCGCCAGTATCTCGCGATTGGCTCAACGGATTTTGGTACAGTTTTCAGAAAAGTGTCTGTTATAGTTAGGAGAAGGTTTTAGTCAATTTATCTATATATAATCTTCTTATCTGTTGATATATGAGACACAATAAAAGACACATTGTGTCTCGCATAGTTCTGCGTTCCGACACTTCACAGTTTAATTAGACGACTTCAAAAAAGTGGGGTCTGAACTCGGTTTTTTTAACATAGTTTGTGAAAGAATGATTTAAACCTATGGTTAAATAACTGCTCTATGTATTCGTAAATGCATATTTCGATTACTGTTCCGTATTTGCCATGTTGTAATTTCTGTGTAAATATTTTCAAGTGTTATGCTTATGATCCTTGGTGAGAAAAAAGTGTCAATTGGAATGAGTCATGGTTCCGTATGTCGTGTTTATGTTATCATTTAGTTTGTCGTGTGAAAATATTATTACAGATAACTTATAATAATGAATATTGTGTAGGTATCAAGCAAAGTAGTGGCAAAATAATCTATTTTTAAAACTGCACTACACAACTGAATTAAGACTATCATGACAGTCGTCGCGTCAGTCATAAGATTTTACCCAATTTTCTGGTCGATTTCCTTAAATAAGGCTTAGTTTTCATCTCGATTAAGTTTAGTCATTACTTGTTGGTTATTTTACTTACATTCACGTACCTAGAATTTTTTTTGAAACTTGTGTACTTCGCAAAAGTGACTCTTTAGTCAAGTAATAGTGTTAGGTACTACCTACCAGTTTTATATGTACTTATAAACCAATGCTTTATATTTTATTTCAGGACAAGCACCAGAGTATGAAGAGGTTATAAAAGCAGCGAAGGCTGGCAATTGGGACCAGGTGCAAGAACTGTAAGTATTTCCTATTTACAAAACTTTACATACATATCTTTAAGACATTTTCAACTTTAAAACAAATCTTTAAAGTAGAAAATTCGATAAATATTTATCCTTAACTAATAGATGGGTTTTAAGATGGTAGCAGTTTAGTTAGTTCGCAATGTTAAACCAAATTAAAGTTCTATGCCAATACAATAAGCTTTAAAATCAAATAACAATCAATACCTTTTAACAGAGAGCAACCGTATGATGAAATTCAGGCTAGTTATAATGAAGACGATGTGTAAGTTCTACCAATGTGTTCGTTTGTATGGTTGTAATATTTCTCAGTAACTACGTATTAATATATTTTGTCATTTCTTTACATGATAACATTGAGTGTAAGTACAAATTTGCATTACCTATTGTAAAAAATAAGTAAACGTATATGTTTTGTACCTTTTTAGGAAAAGGAATAGCGTTTTGCGTAGTTCATCCCATATTTAGAAAAAAATATACATTTTTGTATGATAAGACGTTAAAATAATTATGATGTTAAAAAGTGTCAATAATTACCTACCATATTACGTATAATCACTGTTCTAAATTCATTCCTTATTAATTTTAGTTTCCTATAATTTACACCATAAATTGTGTGATCCTACAATTTCTATGATCTTCACAAACTCGATAAATAAATTGTCTAATTGGCAGGCAATGCATATGTAACTCCTTCGGCGTTGCGTGTCTATTTATCTAGACTCGTTAGCCGGCTCTCCCATAAAACCCTAATTAAGGTTTAAAAATAAACTCATATGTTTATTATCCACATGACATCAATAAGATGGGCAGAATGCCAATTTGCCATAATGATATGACGGTTATGGAAATCACGTACAGGTAGCAAACGGTTTTGTTCTTAAATGATGCACGATGAGATTGCCGGGAAAATCCTTAATAATGTCATTATGTTGGTAGGTATTGTTAGTTGGGTTACGTGCCAAAATGTTTTGGGTCTACGTCAAATTGTATTATTTTTGGAAATATTTTGCTTACTTATACCTAATGACTGCCGGGCAAGGGGTCTTGGGTTCGAGTCCCGGGTCGGGCAAAGTATTACTGGGTTTTAATAAATTCTCAGTAGTAGTACGGAGTCTGAAATTTTGCCCGGAATATGGCAATAGGCTCACCCTCTATTACATAGCACTAATAACACAAATAGTGAAAGTGAGGGTGTTGCATTGTACAGTGGCATTAAGTGCCGTAATGTGCACCTCTGCCTACTCCTTCGCGGATAAAAGGCGTGATGTTATAATGATGTTAAGGGCCAGTTTTAGTCTTATATTTCGTAGTTTGGGAATCTTAGAATCCATATTGTCTAGAGTAAAGTACCTACTTCACTAAAAAAATAACTACCCTAATAATTTTTAGGTTCAAGTTTTTCCCAAACACATGATGTTGACTCGCCAAATTCACGATTGTAGTAAATGGCAGATGTTAAAGATTTATTTTATTCACAGGTTAAATAGCAATCTCGGGAAGCAAGCTGGATGGAAGGTATGTTCTCATTTTCTCCAGGCTCAGTACATTCTGTTTTGAGTTAATTTGATTCTGATTTCGTAAAGTTTTTTTTTATTTTATTTATTTACACTTTTTGCAATTGTATACAATGGCGGACTTAATGCCTAGTGGCATTCTCTAACAGTCAACCTTAGGGTGATGCAGAGAGACACAATAGTAGGTGTAAAAGTTTAACATTGTTATGAGTTTTGAACATTATTTTTATGGTAGTATATATAATTATACATATCACACAATATTTACTAATTAAATTATAATGAAGAAGTACTGAAATATACCTCTATACGTAATGCAAAACGAACAGTAAGGGATAGTATACAAATAAGTATGGGACATATATATACCTAAATATACGAAGGCAAATATATAACATAATATAATATATAACTATACATGATTATACACACACAAATACATAAATACATACATGACCTAAGTGTGTGTTGAGTCTGCTAGCCTCTTCTGTAGATGCTCGCGAACCCTAAATTTGAAGGACAAACGACTGGTCGCAGTCCTGATATCCGTTCTGTATCATGAGTTATTAGATCATCAACCTTAAGACAAACAACTTAAGATTGATAGTTGTACAATTGTATTTTAGCCATGAACTCTTTTGCTTCTTGTTCGAAATAAATCATCATAAAATATTTGATTACAGGCAAACTGATTACGTAAGTCGAATAATTGCAAACTGCATAACTATGTCGCAGAAATCACGTAACTTAAATTTTCCTATGCCAGATTCCTCTAATACTTATCAATAATTTCTCATACGAATAAAAATAAGATCAGGTATAGGTAGAACTATGTCCCTGTGCGATACAATAAATATAGTTTAGTTATACCAATGCCTCTACCTCGTTGGCCGAGTGGTCGCAAGTGCGACTGCGGGGCAAGAGTTCTTGGGTTCGATTCCCGGGTCGGGCAAAGTATTACTGGGTTTTTAAAAATTCTCAGTAGTAGCAAGGAGTCTCGAACTGTGCCCGGTATATGGCAATAGGCTCACCCCCTATTACATGGGACTCATTACATAAAAAGTGAAAAGTGGGTGATACATTGCACAGTTGCATAATGTGCACCACTGCCTACCCCTTCGAGGATAAACGGCGTGATGTTATGTTATGTTATGTTAAAAAATATCCTTACACAGATACACTCGTTGATTGCTAACTATTAAGTGCAATTAGTAGTTAAATATACACAAATACCTAACTAATATGTGGGGGCTTTTTTATTAGAATTTATATAATTGTCTTCATGACATTTCCTGTTAGCAGTATTTAAAGGTAGCATACACAATCCGAGAATGTGTGTCATCAACGATGTATGGTCTTGATAATGTAAATATAATATCATACACGCCTAATGTCATTTATTTCATTAAAAACTTAATAAAATTAATACTAACTATTACTAAATTAAATGTATACAACTTAAGTTAAAAATTAATTAAAATATAACTAAAAACAACCATTTACATAAAGCATCGAAAAATTCTTCCGCGTCGACGTCAGTGGGGAAGGTACCCAGAAGGCTGGCAGCATTACCACGTTGTATGGCAATGCTTAACCTCTAACCGAGAAAAACACCAGCCCTTTGGTCACGAGATGCACCGACCAAGCGTTTCAAAATATATTTGATTAATTTAAGCGCACTTGGACCGCACTAACCTAACGTCTCTACACGCCTTAATACCTACCTTATATATAACGAATAAATAAGTGACCAAGTCCTAATGAGACATACATCTGATCTTAGTAACATATGTGATAATGTCTATGTATGATGAGACACCCTAGGCAATAAATCTCTTCACCATTCATGGTCACTCGTTCAATAAGTTCGTATCAATAACTACTTAAGCTATGATCTCCATGTACGATCTCATGTGATCCATTATACCAAGCTATTTATTAACACATTAAAGTACCTGTAATTTGTTCCCTTAATTTGTTTGCCTAAATTAACAATACATAGACCAACATATTTGTTAATCTTTGAAAATTTCATTAACTCAAATATCTCATCTTTGTGTTACAGCCTCCTTCATTCAACAGCTTAAGGGAGCTGAAGCCAGAAAATGGCGGCCATGTCTATGGAGAGGCTGAATACGCGTACCATTCTGCCTCAAACGTTAATGGCAGAACTACAGAGCAGAACGCAGGACATAAGATCATAAACGAAGATGGACGAGTCAAAGAGTATGACTTCACACCCAGCACGAGTTACACCCCTCATGTAAGTATAAAAACTAAGAAGAAATGCGAAAACACATCAACATTACTATTTTTCGTTATTTTCCTTGGGAATCTTAGCCTTGAAACAAGAATTTAGCTTTAGTTATAAACCGACTAACGTCACGCTTAAAAGTCTCGCTTAAGTGTCAATTTTAAGTCGCACTATTTCTTTGTAAAATGACAAAGATGGGACGGTATTTAAGTACATCTTAAAATTGAGGAAGTAGCCTTCCAGTATTCGTATGTGCGTAAGGTTCAAAATGGCTCTGCCTTTGTGGCTTGAATTTAAAAAGGGCCTTTTTTACAGTATTAAACAAAGTCCAGAAGGAAAGATAAAGAAATAATAATTAGTAAAACATTACTCTATACCATTCCAGCTCCCGTCTATCATATCTCCAGTTGGTCAGAAAGCCGGTGACTACGTAGCATCAGATTACCACTACCAGTACGGTGGATCGGTATCTGGTAAGCCAAATTTCGCGAGTCAAAAACTGAACAACAATCTGCCACAGGACTATTACCCAAGAAATTCGGCAGTCGTACCTATCCCTGTAAGTAGAAATTAATAACATAGTATTGCCAATTTATTACAAAACGTGTGTGCTTATATTACCACAATTCTAAGTGTCAAAGAGCCATGTTTCGGTACGGATGGGCCGGCTTGACTGAAGTAATACCACGACCTCATAGAAAACCGACGTGTAACAACACTTGTGTTGTGTTTCGTCGTGTGAGTGAGGTTCCTGGTGGTCCAATTACTTCCCTAGCCAATCCCCGAATCCCCAACAATCCTCAAATTCCTACTTCCCAAAAGGAACGCACTTGTAACCTCTGGTGTTTCGGGTGTCCATGGGCGGCGGGCGTCATGGATCCGTCTGCTCGTTTACCGGCTTATCCCATAAAAAATAGAGTTCCTGAGGATGAAATAATTTGAAGTAATAGTCGGCAATTAGGTTTTGTAAACGGCTCTAATCAGATGAAGTGCGTAATAACTGCAACACTAATACAATTACAGGAGCTTGAATGATGTAAGTAGGCACGACTGCATGTCAACCGTGCAGACCGAATGTAGTACGTGTATGTACGATATTTTGTTCAAATTGCATTTGCAACGTAATTTTATAGGTACAAGATTTCTCAGCAGAGGCAGCAAGTTCTTTCTCTCTTTTCGCTCTTTTGTTTAGAACAACTATCCAAATTCCACAAACTGCATGCCATCGGAAACGCATACATATACCAAACAACTTCCGTACAATAACTAAATAAGTTATCGTTTTAAACTGTCAAACACCAAGCGGTCACCGGTGACCGCAACCTATTGTTCTATAATTGTGTCTACAAAACCGGTACTCGACGAGTTAAACTAAATCAAAATACTAAGAGACGTTTAGGATTTATAAAACTGTACCTACTCCTAAGAACAGTTTTAAATTCCAGCCAAAAAAGCAACCTAATTCACCAGATGTTGAATATGAATATGTACTCACAAGTAGTACAGAAGATGACAAACAGCCTCGTGAAATTAATGTTTCAGAAGAAAATAAATTCAATGTCCTAAATGGAGCAGAACAAAATAATGAAATTGCACAAACCAATGATCAAACTCCTGTTTCCGTAAATGATTTTCTACTTTAGTCATTTCTTGTTATTTGATAGCCTAAAATCAGTCAATCACCTCTATGTCCATGTAATTCGAGTTACTTTAGACATTAATTATATACGTTTCCGAAATACTCGTCCTAATTTTCCAAGGTACTAGTAAAATGTTATAGACATCTACTAGGTCTACTATACGCAAAAGGAATAATATATATAACCACCAATCATCAGAATTGGGTACTACTTGTAACATCGAATAATCTCAACCGAGAGGTCTACAGTCAGCAGGGGCTATAAATTTTTGGGGAACATATTCTCTACGTCATATTAAACTACATAATCTTGCTTAGTTGATCATAGCTCATGAAGTTCATTCTTCTAGTTTAATTAGAGTCATAATGTTAGATATTTTCTTCCAGTATAAGAAACCTGGAGAAGACAAAAATTATAATAATGGTCTCAAGTATAACATAGACTTTGATGAGCCACCAGAGGCTGAACAAGTGACCACGAATGATAATAAAAGACCAAAACCATTCGAAATCACAATGATGACTACTGAACCACAACTTTTAGTAACGTTTTTGTTTTACTTTTATTTTATTAAATCCATTTACTAATTGAGGAGGATACGCTACAATCTACGTATGTACGTATGTACGTACGTACTACATACCAATCCTAATCTCATCAAGCAGACGTCATCCTATCACGACCTCCTTTTGAACTGACTTAAAATCGCGAAATCCATTTCTATAGTATTTTTTTCTTTGATATCGTTCCTTATATGATCTATTCATTTTAGCGTATCAATGGTCATAACTGCATCATTCACATTTTCACTTGCATGAACGTCAAGTGAAAGTGTCACTTAATATATGATGATGATGAGTTCAATATGAGTTCTGGTGATCTGTAACACAGGTTATACCTTTAACAGACACCAGTCTCTTAATTGTAACATATTATATAATTTGTATCCGTAGAGTATTTTTGAGAAAATAAAGATTTTTATTATTATTTACATATATTTATTTAAAATTCTCTATAAATTACATTTTTAAACACTACTTATAAAATAAAAATAATATTTAAAAATATAAAAAATAGGAGCCGACCAGTAGCGGGAGCATGGTCCAAGCTACCGGTGGTTAGGGCTCCAGAGACAGAAACCTCCTCACGATACGTGCCGTTTCTAGGAGAACTGCCTTCTGTATCAGGCCCTTGATCCATCCACCTAACGCCAGCCTCCTAAGATGGATGTCGAGGCTTTTAGGGATTAACCCATTGGCCGACACGACTATCGGCACAATGATAGCCGAATCCACACTCCACATGTCGACAACCTCGTGAGCTAAGTCTAGATATTTTATTTGTTTATCTTTCTCAGCTTTCACGAGGTTCTCGTCATGGGGAATGGTGACATCGATTATCATCGTGCGGCGTACTTGTCGGTCTATCACCACTATGTCAGGTTTATTGGCTACAATAGTCCTGTCAGTAATGATAGACCGGTCCCAGTACAATGTGATATGGTCATTTTCCAGAACTGGGTCGGGCCTTATTATTATTATTATTATACTTATGTTTAGGATTCAAACCTCACCCATTTCTGGGGAACTACACCAAAATTGCGGGCTTTTGGCCAAAGCAAATTTGGGGGTGAAATAATATATGGTAAATTAATCTATAGATAAAAACTTCCTAACTATTCTGCATGTATTAAGTATGACTGCTTTCTGTAGGAGTGTGAATGTAAGGGGATGCAAATCAAGGGCCTTTAGACTTGTGTGCAGTGTTTTGGGGATGACGCCTGTGCTAGATATAATTATGGGAATGGTCTTAACAGTGTGAACTTGCCACTGAGTTTTAAGCTCAATGGTCAAGTCTGTATATTTAGAGAGCTTGTTAGTGTGAGTGGAACTTAGGTTATGGGTGTTAGGTATGGCTATGTCTATTAGGTATACTATTTTGTTTTTTTTGTCGTGAAGTGTGATGTCAGGTCGATTGTGATGTATAGTTTTATCGGTTAAAATAGTTCTGTCCCAGTACATTTTGAAATCAGGTGAGTTTAGAATGATTTGCGGTGTGTATTTATAGTAGGGTGTTTTTTCAGGAATGAGTTTGTGTTTGTATGCCAGTGCCTGATGTATGATAGCTGCGACTTGGTCGTGCCTATGCTTGTAATCTGTTTGTGTGATGGATGAACATGCGCCTGTGATGTGTTGTATTGTTTCAGATTGTCTGTGACAGTGTCGGCAATGATCGCTGCCTAGAGTACTGTCGCGAATTATTATTAATATAATTTAGGAGATTTAACATCTCACAAATTAGTCAGACCTTAACTGACAAGATTATATTTCAGCTTCGTGTAGCCAATGTTGGTAGGAAATTAAAAACAACACCACCTACAACGGTTCCAGCAGACGATTACTTATATAATATTCCGCCAGTATTCTTAGAAGATGAAAAACCTTCCAGCAACAGCAACCAAGAAAATAAAATTAATAAAAAGATTAATAAGGATACGCAAATAGTCATAACGTTTGGGGACGAACCAACTGACAAACCGGCGCCTGGCATAGTAAATATTCTACTCTTTTGTTAACACGTCTTTCCGCGTTATGGTAAAACGATTCCATAGGCGTTTGAAACATATATTCATTTTTATCTTAGCATTCATTTTTATTTCAGCCTCGCACGTCTGACGTTCCCACTCCATCACGAATACCGATAGCAAATCTGTTCTCTAACATTGATTATATGGCTGGACCAGCTGTTACAGACAGATCCTTCATTAAATTCAAAAATAACAATCAAGCTAAAAATAAAAAGGTACTTAAAGTTGCCTATGAAAATACAATCAAGTGAAACGTCTAGATAAGACGTGCTCGATTCAATTTTATTTTATTTTGGACTTAATCCATTTTCTTCCACGGACCCTCCGATTGTAGAATGAACTCCCTGCCTTGGTTTTCCCAGTGGGCTTCAACATGGGGTTTTTCAAGAGGGGAGTGAATAGGTTTCTTGAGGGTCGGCAAGACGCATGTAATGCCGACCCTCAAGAAACCAGGCATATAGGCCACGGTAACCGCTTACCATCAGGTGGGCCGTATGCCTTTTTGCCACCGTCGTGGTATAAAAAAATACAATAATTGTAAAAATTGGTAACCAAATAGATTCTTATGGCTATTAGATTTTTTGAGCATATTCTTGGCCGTTGTATCACCTCTAAAGAGTTCATATAAGAACTTTTGAATCACATCTCCAAAGATGAAGAAGTTAAAATGTACGCGTGTCCCAGAACGCACAGAAGGAATGTAGCAGTAAAAGAATGGATCTAATTACAATTTAATCATAGTGTTCAATTACAGACTACAATAGCACGTAAGAGGTCGAAAATGAGTGATGCTGATTACATGGCTTATGTTGCATCTGCCATCGAAGATGGACTAGATAAAATGACACAACACATAAAGAACAGGGACTTTGAAAAATTATATTCGGACATGATCTCAAGCCCAACGAAAGCCGCGAGAAAAGAGCGCTCCGTAAATGGTTTATTCACTTATTTATCAAATCAAATCAAATCACTTTTATTTGTTAACATAGGTGCATACAGATATAGGTCTTGTGTATGGTAATAAAAATTTGATATCAATGATTAGATATCATTTTTATATTCATGAAGACTGGTAACTCTTATAATTTAGCGGAAATTAAATTACATTGGTATTGTCATCTTCTACACTTTTTAGGGGTTACCAAATTTTTTAATCATCACTTACTTCTTCACTGTAAACAGAGATAGTGATAGTGGTTCAACTTCTGCCCATAAAATATAAAAATGTACAATTCATCCCTACTAAAAACTGTCAAATGTCAATTTTATTCTACGGTTAAAAATTAACTGATGCTTGTAAAATCGGCCCTTAAACTGTCAAACACCGGTGACCATATTGTTCTGTACGTCATTTACCAATCAATTCAATAATTCTACAATATCCCTAGTCCATATCAAACAGTCTATCGTAATCTGTCTACATATTCGTACACAAGACGGAGCCTATTGTGTCTTTAATGACGGTACTCAAAGAGTTAATCATCATCAACAGCCTATAAATGCCCACTGCTGAGCAAAGCCTCTTCTCAACCGGAGAAGGTTTGAACATTAATCACCACGCTTGCTCAATGCGGGTTGGCGATTAAAAACTTATAATTAGAAATTATAAGCCCAGGTTTCTTCATGATATTTTCCTTCACTGTTTGTCAGTAGTGTCTAGATAATCTTAGAAAGTACATATAACTCGGAAAAAGTCACATTTGTACTTGCCGTTGGTAGGTTTGGAAGCCGTATCCTCATGCAAGAGAAGCTGTCGTCTTACACCGCCAGGCCACTACGACATTTTAACGGCCCAGTGAAACATAATTTGGGTATCAAAACGGCCATTCTTTTGGGTTACGATTTTAAAAATAATACATCGCATTGCCTATTTATAAAGGTTTAAAATCACCTGCTACTCATCTCTGCACTGCTTAAAGGTTGACTGGGAAACAATGCCCGGGGCATTAAGTCCACCTGTCGTATGAAGTTGTTGTATGAAGTTGAAATAAATATTTCAGCCTAATTAAATCAGGACATATTCCGCCCATTACATTAATATCATAAACTCCAAAAGGATTATTTATTTTGTAAAGATAACTTTTTAATTACCATTTGATTAATCAACCGTTGTAAAGCCATCGACATTTCTTCCAGCAGAAGTTCTTGGAAAAGAAACCTTTGTTCCCTAAATCGTTTGATAAGAAGTTCGCTTACAAAAACTCGTCCTCGTACCTCGATAGCAAACCACCACATATTCAGAAAAACGAATTCCGTACGAGTACACCGAAGGCGGATTCTGTAAGTTGTAGAAGTCTCTGGTGTAGCTGTAGATAGACGTAACCAAAACATGTATCAAGACTCTTATTATGTAGAAACACTATTACCGTCATAAAGAAAAGATTTAGGAAAAACTGATTTCAAAGTAAAACTATTGAATACAATAGTAACCAGCCGTAGAAATTAAAAAAAGGGTGCAAAAATCTTAAATACTTATATGCTTATGCTGCTGATGCTGTTCAGCCAGTACCTACACCAATTTATATTCGAGTATAATTTTCAGGAACTGTTTTTATGTATCGTATTTTGCGGTCTGCGCTACTAAAACATCTTTGGTCGTTTTAATCGACCGTTCAAAAAGCGCTTTAGGACTTGAAGATCAAAGAGATCTTCAAGTCCTACGTTTTAAATGTTGTTGTTAACGTAGGACAACAACATTTAATTATAGTTAATGTACAACATTGTAAAGAAACAATTGTCGATAACAAATTAAATTTAAGCACAAAACAAGTATTGAAAAGTGACTTTATCCAAAACTAATCTCGTTACAGGCCCTGAGTTTCAGCAACGTGCGTGAACTGAAGCCACCACAGGGCGGCCATGTTTACGGAGAAGCCCAATACGCGTACCACACAGCTTCGAACATCAACGGCCAGAAATCAGAGGACGCTGGAGGCCACAAGATCATCAACAACGATGGCAATGTCAAAGAATTTGATTTCACACCCAAACCGAAATTAGGACCTGTGAGTTATTATTAAGTTTCCAGGTGTGGTGTGCATTATTCTGGCTGCGGAGTTTTATTATATTTATTGTTTGGCTTAGTAGAAATTGCGCTTGTATGTCCATTACAGATAACAGTGCGTAGCAGATCAACCTGATCTTTTCTGTCAAATTTCTTTATTAGATTTTCAACCCTATCGTTTAGATATAAATTCGAAAAACCAATGACAAAAATTTATAAATTGGAGTAGTTTGATGTGCCGTCTACTGTATTTTTAAGCATTTGTAATCGATGACTTGTTTATCGATTGTCGACTGTTTTAAAATGTGTCCAAGTCAGTTAACGTTTTTGGGATGCTAAAGTATCTGCCTTGAACTTGCTATTGGCTATCACTGTAGTGCCCTTTGTGTGTTAATTTTCATGTCTAATGTTTTTAACTACTCTTTGTTAATTCTTCTTATCACCTAAAATGATCTAAAATGAACCTTTTGCACTATGTAGTTAAGTAGATATTAGTGTAAATAAGTGGTACATAAGATACCATTGGCCTATAATTGTCTTTTTCCCCAATATTGAAGTGATAATTGGTTTTTAGCTCAAGAAATTACCTTTAGCAGTAGTTGACAAAGACATCGGCGCGTTAAAGAGTCTATTTCTGCAGTAATTTGAATAAAAATATGGAATAATCTGACTGGAAGTTGCCATGTATTTAATATTGAAGTTTATTTCGTAGAGAAATTGTGAGCCTAATTATTTAAATTGTAAATTAGGATGGTAAATATAAGTATATTTATTAAGTTTAGGATTTTTTATATTTTCGTATTATAAAAGTCACGATCTAAATATATTATGAAGATAGAGAAATAATTTCAAATGACCAGCGACCAATGCAATTATTTTTATATACATTTCAATATTGCAATAGATATTGAGTTAGCAATAGATAGTACACATGATTTTTTTTGTTAATGTATTTATTTTTAAACGCCTTAACTAATCTTTCCATAGAACTAAGTAATATTGTTTAGTATTGTACCTGAAATATTTACATCTTAAAAAAAAAAAAAAAAATGTTACATTAACACGTTTAACGCCATAGGGGTCACCGGTGACCGACGTTACTCGAAGATTTACCTTCAACAGTTTCTTATTGACAAAGGCTAAAGTAGTTAATTTAAAAAAAATTCTCTACTATAGTGCCCAAAAGACAGCAACATTGCCACGTTGAATTGAATGGGAATGCTTCAAACCTTTGCATGAAAATATATTGACGTATAAAAAAGTATTGGCTGTATAAAAAAGTTGTAGACGTGTTTTCTACGGCTTTTTTTTTTTGAGTAACACTGTGTTCTTTTGCTATACGTTTATACCCAGGCACCTATACTTTACAATAGATTGGGCAAACGACAAAACAAATCTCTGTGTCAAAGAATTTCCCGAAAAAGACGGTCAGTCAATTAAATCCATGTCATATAATTATTTATTTTAAGTACAAAATAGTCACAAATATTTTTAAAAAAATGGGTTTCAACGACGTTTCGGAGTTGATTAAGGTAAAAATTACCAATATATTTTTTTTATTTATTGTATTTTTTATTTATTACTAATGTATTTTATGTGAGATTATTGAGTTGAGACTGTACTGTGATCGTTTTTATTTTACTGTAATATTTATATATTGTAAATAAATTAAATTGAATTTTACTATTGAGTTTTATTAATCTTGATATTTTGTTACTTTCCAGCCTTAGGCCACTTTTAAATTGTTTTGTCCTTGAAAGATTCAATCATTTACGAACATCATGTAGGCAAGATATTAATTTCTAAACCTAGATTACATTAACATCATTACATAAATAAATAAACAATAATAAGATATGTAGTAGAACTATAAAAAACAATCTTACTGCTTTGATAATAAAGACTCCATTGCAGTCAAGGGTTACAATAGACCGGTGGATTACCGATAACCTATCATACATTTGATTGTTTTTTAAAGTTTAAGGTCTTAAAGTTACCTTCCTGGGTATAAAGTCAATAACATAATAACAACATATATTGTTTATTATCTCCCGAAGAGCAGATAACTTAAATCTTCCGCCTATTCTATATCTTGTGTGTTAGAAGAACCATTTCATTAAGGGCTGTTCTTTATTCAAAATTTTCGACTCTGAAATAACATATCCAAAAATTTCCCTCCGTTTCTCACTGGTTATGTTTAAAGTACCATGTATTACAGGGGTAAACCTATCGCTATATTATTATACCAAGAATAATTCCAGACTGCGTGCTACTACTAGATATTTTGATTTTCGACCTCTCGCGTCCGGCTCTGGTTCAGGTAAAGGTGCGGAGCGAGGGGGACTGAGATGCCGTCTCCTCTTTCTGCAAAGCAGTCATGTTAGTCAAGTAGGAAGTGGGGTGCGTGAGAGAACGAACCTCCTCACAGCTGAGTTGTCGCGGGACACACTCCGAGCAAGGGTACCACCACCAATGGAACTAGACCCGTACATACGGTGCGTCGCATTGCGCATACACCTTAAAGGGCCATCAGACCACCAGTGCTTGTAGTGTGACACTCCCTCTCGCCTAACCCATGGCGGAAGAAGTCATTGGATGATTTTCCCCCTAAAAAAAAAATTTCCCGTAGTGTTTTGGCGGACGCGCTTAGCAGTTGTGCTTGACACCACTTTACAGTCATATACAGTAGGTGTATACCTAAGTAAGTAAGAATCAGGTAATGTTTACAAAAACCAGTAGTTTTGTTGATGCTCAGATCCGGGGTCCCATGACGTCATCATGGCACATTCTGTCAGAGCCATCGTGAGCACTCGTGAGGCACGACCACATTAATTATACCTCTATGTATACGCATCTATATTTATTTGAAACAAGTAGGTATAGGATTATCTAACAAGGAACTAGATTCAGAACAATTTTATTTGTGTTTACAAACAAATATGTTTAAACATTCGTTTATTTCCTGAAAATGCAAAGGACAGGGGCGCTGGTTTTACTCGCTGCTCGACTCCTATTGGTTGTTGTATGATGTGTTAGCGCCGTCAAACAAACAAACAAACACACTCTTTAGTTTTACAATACCCATTTTTAACTTTAAAGTATAGCACCTACTTATTTCCAGTTAAATATATCAAAATTGAAAATCATAAATTGTACTATAAATGTAATAAACAGAAGACTATCGATCTTCATCAGCGTTGCGCATGCGTCATTTTTAATCGTCTTTTTTCTATAATTGACATAATAGGTAAGATGGCGACCACGTCGATTTGTTTATGGTATTTATGTATCGTTTAAACTTCGTTTAGTTTATTCTCACCCTGAAATGAAATAATGAAAGAAATGAAATTACATTTACTTTTGTAAATATGCTAGAACAGCTCTTTCACGCGTTATTATTAATTTGAATTTGAATTTGACAAAGAACATTATTGATAATTGAGATTGCCACATAACATAGTTTATCTTTTAATTACATAAATATTATTATATCAGTTGCGACCTTTTCAGATAACTGCATCTAACCTTGACCACAGAGATACGACTGGACCCGTACCTATGCATTTATGCGATAAAACCCACGATTATAATTATCTACAATAAATTCTATTGAATTCATCTCTAACAATAATGAGGCCTTTAGGTATATATGTACAGGCAGAGATGAAAAAGGTAATAATAATCGAAAGTAACACGGAACAACACTTTGTGTGATCCACAGATTGTTGTTACGAGTCTGGGTGCCATGTGTATGTGAACTTGTATGTTTGTAAACACACCTACGACTCAGGTGAAAATCCAAGGTGGCGTAGCGTTTTTTAAAAAAAAATATAAAAAAAATATTGCAAAGATTAGACATAGGTATGGATGTACCCAAGGATGTTGAAAAGAAAAATAGGCGGACATATACCACTTAGAAATTATTGAAGCACTAAAATATCAGTGGGTTATTTTGTTTATCTTTTTATTTCTCGTTCATAGTTATTCTGGTTTTGTTTATACTTTTGTCTAACTTTGAATTTACTCGTATTATATGTAAGTCATTATTAATTGTCAAGTCTCACGTGGTGCTATCATTCCATGTATATTGAGAGACCTGGCTCTTGTGATACAGGGATACCTAGTGTACAAGAACCAGAGCTTCACTGTGTTATTTCTATGAAGCGCTAATAGACGTTTATTATTATAAAAAAAAATATGTGCGTGTGTAATGGGTTACCACGTTCCAAGAAAATGACAGGTATCCTTCGTATCAGTCGCGGAGAACCTAACGGATAACCGGGGCTCCGGCTCGACGTGCAGGAGAAGGAACGGGATGGTTTTAGTCAGTAAGAGTATGACACTCTCTCCCATCTCACCCAGGCGGGAGCACTCGATGACTTTCCCCCTTTAAAAAAAATCCTTCGTATCAATGTTCCGCGTGTAACTCTATAGTAGCCAGGTGCCACAGTCGTTGTGCCAAGTGACAGTGTCCGTCTTCTTTTCAACGTCCTAGGGCGTATCTATTATGTGGATAAATTGGCTTGTGCCCTGATCCAAGGGGTTTCATGTGGCCCGCGACCCACATTTTAATCTCAACATCTTCATCTTATGTGCAACAACAATAATAAAATTCGGTGTTTGATTATGATGAGTAAAGAATACAATGTTAAACGTCATTATCCTCTTATCTGTTGATACACCGACTCCCGATGTAAACACCATTATAGCCGCAACTGAGACGCAACTTAATTAGCCTGTGCGGGTAAATAGTTTGGACAGCCCTGGATTGGATTATGGATTGGATGGACGTTTCATCTCCTGTTTCGAGTTGGCCGTCGGTATTGCCTATAATAGCTAGTCACATTCGCGACCCTTTAATGAACCACAAATGTTCTGGGTGTGATGTGTATCCAACTATTTGCTAACGAGCCCATAACACTAGAGACATCGTTATGTTAATTTTGAAGCTGAAAATGTCAAGTTTTCTATTATACTGAATGGTCAATTATATACCGAATAATTCGTGTTAAGAAATCGCACGTGCGACCATTTAACCAATGTAGCTGTTCAATTATTACTATAAAACATATATTCATATAATCCATTGTCGCTTATATATATAAATATATATATATAGTGTAACAATACAATAGAATTGAATATATTAAATATAAATTGTACGCGTAGAGCGTAGCCAAATATCAAAATCATTGTTTTAATATAGTTGTAGCTATACGTGCACAATACTTAGACATAAGGGCCTAGAAAATTTAAATAGAATGTCTATTGAAATGGTACGACCTAAAGAGTATTCATGAGATACCCTAGAAGGAGCTCCCTCTTGGAACATCAATGGCATTGCCCCCGGATATTTTTGCACCTGATCGGTTGATAGCGCAGCTGAGGGCATTTGCATCTCGTATTTACATCCATTTATTAGACTTGAAGTGTTAATAGAAATCGTACATTCAATTGCGAGGTAAGATTGCACACAAGTGCACGGAGCAAAATATCATCTGAATATCGATTTCAATGATAGTATTCGTAGCAAGAGCCTCATACCTTGGTTTCTTGTCCTGTGACGTTCGTCTCCGATAGAAGATACGAAATGAATTATTAGTACTCACTAAAACAAATGAAACACGATGAAATGTGAATTAAAACTAAAACACGATATTAATTCTCAAGATTGTTATAAAGTATGCAACAAAAATAAAACAATGAATACCTACCCAAATTAAATTAAGCACATAATTAGGAACTGGATAAACCCCCGCAGATTACGTAAAATCCTTGACCTCTACTTGA